AAGAAGTTAACAACGAATTGTAAATAGAATGTGAAGGTGGATTTTTTATAAGATCGTGGAGAATTTTTGGGAGTATGGTCAGTGGTTGTTGTGATGTCTGCAATGATTGAATAAAATTTGAAAGCTGTGGCTCGGAAACCTTTTTGGATTGTTGGCGAGACTTTTGGCGTGGCTTTGCAAAGGGTGAAGACTTCACTGAATCTTTGTCTGTCGGGCTTCGAGGCATTTTATTCATCTCTTGTGTGTTTTTGAGTTTTCTCTTTTCTACTTTTTGTTTGTATATGGTTAATTATATAATACAAAATACTATAATAAATGGTATAGTATTTTGAAAACAATTCCTCAATTATTTAATAGTATTAATTCTATGAATAAATTATTGGTATTTTTTTGTGTATTAAAAGTATAATTTTTATAATTAATAAATATAACAATTAATTTAATTACATATGGTAAAAGTATAGTTAAATATAATAAAATAAACAATATATTTTAACTAAGAGAAAGTTAATATATTATATTATTTAAATAATATATGAATAGATATTTTAAAACGCATTTTTGTGGCAAAAAGTTTGTTTAGTGATGATGATCAATGAATATAGATCATCCTCCATGTTGTAAGTAATGTATATAAGTGTGTGTTTTTCATTAAGTTTAAAATGGTTCACCGTAGATAACAAGTGCCTTCCTAGCTCAGTCGGTAGAGCGTGCGGCTTTTAACCGTAAGGTCGGGGGTTCGAGCCCCCCGGGGGGCGTTTTTTTCTTTTTTTGCTTTTTAATTTTTTAGGTTATAAAAAGTCTAAATAATAACAATTCAAGAAGCATTTGTGGTCTAAGGGCAGAATTCCACCCTTCCAAGGTGGAGATCCGGGTTCGAGTCCCGGCAAATGCACTTTTTGTTTTTTAAGTTATTGTCTATATTCAAATGACCTTTAATTTATAATTAAAATTAATTAAAAAATGATATTATTTATTATTAAAAGTATTTAGGTATACTTGGTTGGCTATATTCAAATAAGTTTTTCAACATTTCAATGATATTATAATTTATAATTTAAAAATTTTTGATTTTATGTGTTTTTTAGATTAAATCGTAACATTTAATAGTTATATATAATTATATTTTAGTAAAATAAACAACAAAAATAAAATAAATAAGTATCATTTCTCAAGAAAAAGATCATTACAAACATCCAAATGAACTTCTTTTTTTACAAACTTTCAAATACAAAATGTCGTATTCGCTCCAACGATTTGATTTTGGAGACAATTCATGTTACACTGACCAGGTGACAATTCCAAAAAGCAAATTCAGTCTATTTTTCCACTCGACTGGAGATTACAAAAGCGACTCGATATTTGTTCAGTTGGTTGGAGGGAATACGAACAAGCGTGTGATTGCCTCTGTAATTGGCCCAAACAACACCGAAGACACCATAATAATTCCAAAGTTATTATTTCCTTTAGAAGAGACTTCGGTATCTATGAAGCGTGTTGATTTAGAACAACTTACTTCCATGACAATAGTCCCATCAAACAAAGAGTGTTATTTCATCGAAGACATATTAAACATTATCAAGTCACAATTGCGCTTTGCGCGAAGTGTGTATGAAGGGATGGAGTTCTCAGTTAATGTCATCACAGACAAACGAGTGGGGTTACTTAAGAAAGCAACTTTTCTTGTGAAGTCGACGGTACCTAAGAATGAAGCTTATATCTCATTAAGAGACGTAGAGTATACAATCCATTATGATCCAGTCGACGCAAAGAATATGGAAATTGAAGACTCAGTGTATTCCTTTGTCGATGATTTGGACAAAGCGAGTCAAAGCGACAAGTCAGAAAGTCCGAGTGACAACGACGCGACCAAACAGAAGTGTCAATTTTGTGGGAATTCTGTGAATACAAAAAATTTCCAAATGCATCAAATTCAGTGTAAAAAGGTAAATATGGTGTGTCCAACATGCCATAAAGTTCTACTTGTCAAAAACTACGAAAAACACCAAGAAACTCACACATTCATTTCATGCCCGTTTTGCAAATATCGCGTCGCTCGATGCGATCTTTTAAAACACATTGGGGAAGACGGAAGTTGTGAAAAGAAGACGGAGAAGTGTCGGAAGTGTGGGATGTACTTCCCGAGTAACGAACTCAAAACACACAAGTTCTTGTGTGATATGGGAATCAATGAGTCTGAGGAATATATCAAACAAGAGTCAACCAAAATAGGAGGGGAAGTCAAAGAAGAAAAAATCGAGAGA